AAACTAGGATAAACGACAACAAACTATGATAGACGACAACAAACTATGATAGACGACAATTAACTATACAACTTTACAAACTATTTGAGAACATTCCATTTCTAAAAACTATAATCCTTAATCTGCTTAAAAGAAAGGCGATATAACATGTTGTGTTATTACACTGCATATCTGGAACAAGATAATTGTGCATATCAAAAAATAATCATTCTTTCGTATTTTGATCTTTGAAAATCGTTAAAGTGTTGAAATACTTTTCAGAAAGTTATCAATGATAAAATATCATAGCTGGCGTCATGAACGTACACATTCCATAAAAAATTCAGTCTTTATTATTCAAAAAAAAAATTCATTATCTTTATATAAAATGATTGTAATAAATTTATTTCACTTTCGCTATGATATACACAAAAATATCATAAGCTTTTTGACGATTTTTTTTATTGTACATTCACTCTAGTATATGCCGTCAGTGGTAATATGCCACCATCTATCATTATTTGTTCTCATCTAAGCTCTGAACTTCGCGGTTGTCCGCTGAATAACCCTTTTTCGTAGTCTGGGGTATTATATTACCCGTCGTTTCTCGTTGTTTGTTGTCGTCTGTAGTAGTTTGTTGTCGTTTGTCATAGTTTCTTGTTGTCTCTCGTAGTTTGTTGTCGTCTGCCATAGTTAATTGTCGTCTATCATAGTTTGTTGTCGTCTATCATAGTTTGTTGTCGTTTATCATAGTTTATTGTCGTTCGTCGTTTTTTGTTGTCGTATTTTCCTTTTCCGTCGTTTGTTGTCGTTTATCGTAGTTTATTGTCGTTCGTCGTATTTTGTTGTCGTATTTTTTTTCTCCTCTTTTGTTGTCGTTTATCATAGTTTATTGTCGTCTGTGGTAGTTTACTGTCGTAGTTTGTTGTCCTGTGATGGCTCTCGTTGTATATATAAAGGCTCGCTCTGCTGTGATGAATTCATTCCGTCGATTAACACTACAGCGGTAACATCGATTCTTCGATTGTAAACTCCACGGACAAGAACAACTGCATCTATTCTCAACCATCTTTATCAGGTCTGTTGATATTTTAGTTAGTGTTTTCTCTCAGCCTTTTGTTCATTCAAGTCAAAATTTTGTTTTGAGTGATCTAAACTAAAGATATGTTGTTTTATTTTATAGGTTACTACATTCAAAATTTGTACAGTGTAAAATTTATTGTTCGGTTCACAGTGGAGAAAAAAGATATAACTGCAAATCAGAAAATACAAACGAAATTGACTCGACCGTCGACACTCATTTCGGTAATGGTCTTTTTTTTTTGAAAATGAAATCATTGTGACTTATTATTGACATTCTTTTTTTTTTGTATATATAGGGACAAAAAAAATGGATATTGATGTCGTTAAGACAGTAGAAATCATTGATTTATGTACACCAGATTTGGATACCGATCATGTAGTATTATCTCCAATAGTCTTAAGAGATACAACAGATTTAAATAGAATTGTTGAACGGTTTCCCGATATTCATCGTCGATTACCTATATTACCCTGGTTTCCAACAAATAATAATCAAGATCAAGGTTATCCATTGCTGGCGAATATACCACGTATGTAGAAGAAAAAAATGATAAGAACGTGTGATGTACAGCTTTTTTTCTGTCTTTCATAATGTATAGCCCATCAATTGATTCAAAAAGAATTAGTTCATCGACGTTCTGGTGCTTCTACACCAGCATGTACGATTATCAATAATGATACTACCATACCATCATTTTTACGTGAAAAATATCATCTATATTTCGATGATTTACTTGAACGGTTAAAAGTTGATATATCTATTTTGGATTATAATTATACACGTTTAAATCAATATATGAGAATGTTGGCTTATGAACAGATTCGTGTATTTAACCTCCGACCCAATGAAATTCAACGAATCGACGAAAAAGAATATCCAGTTGCATTGGAATTTTTTTTACAATTTGATGGTATGATTTTTTTTGATAATATATTAGTCTTTTTTTTTCTAAACTATTTGTTGATTATTTTCTAGTAAATATGTTCTATATGAAAACATGTTCATTTCGTTATGCTCGACCACGTACATTGAATGAAGGCCTTTTTTGTTTACAAGAACCAGAAGCTCGATATGAATTAAGTGCATGTGGTAATTGTGGATTATGTTATCCACAATATGATATGACATATCGAACGAAAAAATCAATTGTTGAATTTAGTCAAGCTCATAAACATACATTTGTTAATGGTTATCAAACGATCTTAAATTCTTCAGCGGTATGTTTTTCTTGCATAGATTATATCAAGATAATTAATATAAAACAATTTTTTTAGTCATGTCATACACGAAATATTATCTATGCATTAACATGTCCATGTGGTAAATTTGAATATATTGGTACAACCGCCAATACTTTACATGATCGTTTAAGAAGTATAAAAATCTTTTTTTTTTTTTTTTTTTTTTCGTCCCTCTACTATAAATTTTCTTTTTAGAACATCGTGAACATGGAAATAGAATTATGCACGAATTTTTAATTGGTCAAGCTAATATTCTTCGAGAATTGACAAGAGGAAAACCAACAGAGTCTGCTCACTCTGAAAAATATTTGCATTTATTTTTTTTTCTCTGTTTCAGAATTTTAGTCAAAGATCGTATGAAACTTTATCAACATTCAGCAAGATGTCCAGTCGCCATGCAAATCTTTTTGGATGCTAATCACCAATATTGGCGATTTGTTCCAATGTCATTAGAAGAGTCACAAAGACCTGAACAACAAATGGTACAAAGTCTTGTGATTTCTGATGAACCGAGTCATCATGCACGAACAAGACGTGACTGTGAAATTTGTGTGGAT